TTTCCAAAACGATAGAGATACCGGAACAGCGGCTAAAGCTTTTTGTTCGACATCTTCCATTACTAAATTAGCAATTACTGCCGAAACTGGTGACCCCATCGCTGTTCCAAAAACCTGTTGATAATAACAGCCCTCAAACACAAAGTATGTCTTGTTGAGACAAAATGACAGAAGATCAATGATATCTTCTACAGGCAAGGATGTTCTTTGTAACAAAGTAGCATCCTGTCTTAGTCTTTATTTAAACATATTTTTGGAAAATTGAGTTTGCCCCAAGAGCGTACACACTCATCTAGGGGGCTTACTCGTTAGAAATTAAAAAAAAATACACTGTCACGCACACACGGTTTTTAATATTTGAAAACTAACACGATAGGTGTCAAGAATTATTGAAATAAAAACGTGCTGTTTCTTTAATATAAGTCTGAACATAAGAAAATATTGCCGTGTTGTGTTCCAACGACAGCATTTGAGAACCAAAGAGAAATATTTCTATAATTTGTTCATCCTTCAATCTTGACCACCCCTCGGGAAGTTTCTCGGCAGCGGAGTACCTATTTTTCATGTTGGTATCATGTTGGTATCATGTTGGTTTCTTAGTACCTATTTTTCATGTTGGTATCAATTTTTGTGACTATCGCGTGAGCGATAGCCACTATGTCATCGCGTCGTTTGCTTGCTTGCTTGCTTGCTCGCTCGCTCGCTTGCTTGCTCGCTTGCATGCTTGATTGTTTTGGACCTTACTACGTCATACTCGGAAGCATGTCACAATTGGTAAACACGTCACATTTGGCAGTTGTCGTCATATATCCTGAATATTTTAATTTTTAGCAGACTCCGTGTTGTCTGGTAATGTTTTCAAAACAGTTGAATATATTTGCCGAGTATTCTGTTTAGGGCAGTGAGGGCACTGAGACTTATAAGAGCCTGGCGGGTTGATTGTCTGGTTCTAAAACATATTCGTACAATTGTACTATTTAACAAATTGTAAGTGATACAGTAAATCATCCTCGTTTATCTGTTAGACACAGAGTATTTCTATTCTTTCGTTATAATAACGATCGTAGTCGTTAGCTAAGCTATTGATATCAAAATATACTGGCCGCAGCTTAAACTTTGAAAGTAATATTCCGAAACATTATTAGTTCTATAAAGTTTTCTTAATTAAAGCTAATTCATATCATTTCCGATGCGAAGAAAATCTATTCTTAACAAGGATTATCCCAGCTGTTTATACAGCCCGACTAGCGTTGAGCGGTTCATATAACTGAAACTGAGTGAGATCATGCAAAACAGAAAATAGCTCAAACATGTTTTGTTCTTCGGAGTTTTATGTCAGGAATTTATATTAATATCGGTAATACTTTGCAAACATGGAATGATTCGTGACCAACCTTTTATCATTCCTTTAGTCTCAGATGAAATTTTTGATGGATTTATTTGTTATGCGAAAGAAGACAGATGCTTCGCACTTGAGATACTCAGGCGGTTGGAAGCTCCTCCATATTGTCGTAAAATTTGTATCGACTTTCGTGACTACGTACCAGGAAATTGTCGATTGGATCAAACAGCTAAGATCATAGAACATCGATGTAAACATTTAGTTGCTATTTTGTCATCAAATTTTACAAATTCTTCAAATGCTGGTTTCCAAGTCAGGATCGCGTTGAATTTATCCCCAGGTGAGTCAAACGCACAGCGTCAATAAACCACTGGGAAAGATGTTTATAATCTTTTTAGATCTGACCCTGTAATAGTAGTGGACACTTCGCGAAATTGTTTTTGAGATGAACTCTTTTTCATGAACTCTCGACTGCACTGAATTAATAGTATTAATGTCCAAAGTTCCTTTTGTCTGAACTTTTTCAATACCCATGCAATAAAATGTATCAACGCCTTTTTCATGTACTGCGTGTAGAAAAGGTCTGTTGGTATCAAACAGCCTTTGTACAAAAACGTAAAAAGACTTATATTTAAGTTGCCTTATTGATAGATTGGATTCGGGTAGATTTATAGGTTTACGTAGTGCTGGTGGCACATTGGTTGTTAGTGCATACTGCATGTATCAGGGGGTCCAATTCCTACACTGTTGTCTGATTATAATGATGCGTCATGAGGCATGGCAATTACGTCACCAAACGAGGAGTTGATCTTGCTCGGCGTTTGACTGCCACCTCTCTTCAACTTTGAGCTGGTTAAAATTTTCATGAGAGTTGATGAGAGTTTTTGCTACGCAATCTGTAATATCCAATCAACTCGATCTCGTGCAGCTCTTATTGTCGTTGAGATAAGAGAAAACTCTCATGCCAACAAAACTTTCATCCTCAATTGACTGGATTGAATATGTAATTTTAGTAAATTTTTAATATTAGTTTTAGACTTATATACATATAAATAATTAGTGTTGATGAGTGGAATGGTAAATTCTATCTTTCACCGAATGGAAATATTTTTGCTATTGCACAAATGACAATGTTTAAAATTAATAGAAATCCAACAAATATGTCCCAAAAAGTATTTCAGACAACCAGATCGCTACCAGACATGCGCCAGAATTCTGCCAGCTTGAGTAGACCGCTGACTTAATATATTCATGTTGGTTTCTCTTATAGTCGTGCTAGGCAAGACTGCTGTAAATAGTACAAAAATGCACGGCTGAGAAAGGCTGAGAGTAAATGGTTATTTTTATCCCATGTCACGTGATCATAATCAGCTGATTAAATGACCAGAATTTAAATTGGGTGTTATATACTAGGGAGATGCTAAGCATCATGGGGCGAGCCTGAGCCAGAGCAATGATAGCCAGCAACTATCATGCAACAATGATTACCAATGTCAACCTTTCTTGTTTCCGCACTTTAATTAATTAAGCTATCATTTGGCATTGCAATGTAGTAGAAATTTCAAAGGCAAAACTCGTAGTATTATAAATGTTGGGAATTGTATTTCTATCCGTGTATTATATTTGATATTTTGTTCAAAGGCAAAACTCGTAGTATTAATGTTGGGAATTGTATTTCTATCCATGTATAAGGCCTGTTCTAAACGTCGCATTTTACATGTGCCGAATGCATTCAAAACAATAGATAATCAGCTGAAATGCCTCATTATCCATCGTTTTGAATACAAGACACGAGCTCGTGATTTTGATCCGCCATGTTGTTTTTAATTCTGCAAGTTGCGCGCATGCGCAAATTTTCCTATTCAGGCGCGCTTGTCGTTTGCTCGCCGCACACGAGAATTTTTGTCACGAATGACGAAAAATATCAAACATGTTTGATATTTGGTTTACATGTCACGAATGACGAAAATGCCGTAAATGTTGTCCGCACACGAGGAAATTTTGTCGATCCAACTTGTCACGAATAACAAGTACGCGCGACAAGTGCGCTCGTGTGCGGCGGGCTTTAGAGAAGAATAACAGAATATTCAGCCCAAATCAAATCGAAATCGGGCTTTGCATCAGAATTTGATCCGCAACTCACTCAGAAATCGAGCAAAGTAAAATTGCGATGGGCTTAATAATACTGCATGTAAACAAAACATTTAATGCATGCATACAGATAGCCGGATTGCAAAAACTTGCAAATAAGGTCTTTTTTTCATAGTCTTAGAGAAGAATAACAGAATTACAGAATATTCAGCCCAAATGACAAATCAAATCGGCCTTTGTATCAGAATTTGAACCACAACTCACTCGAGTAAAGTAAAATTGCGATGGGCTTAATAATACTGACCACTGTAAATAATACTGACCATTCCAATTTCCATTTGTTATTTGGCATGAAGAATATATTTCATCGCATGTCGCATGAAAAATTGTCAGCCGGTGAGAGGCGAAAGGCCCGTAAAATTTACTGAAAGTTCTCAAAATAGCCGGTGCGAGGCGAAAAGCCGGTAGGATTTAAATCACTGTAGAAAAAGTTCCGTGTACGTACGTACAACCGAACGAACGCACCATAATGCATTGCGCTTGAGCTCGATGAGCCACCAAACTGTGGGGCTCGCTCAGGCTCGCCCCAATTATTCACTATTTACTATCTGTGATTATTGCATTACGTTGGGTTGCATTGTATGCATCATTTTTCTTTTTAGATTTTGTTCAACGTCGAGTGATTCCAATTCTGTACGAAGGTTGTGACATTCCAGAAATTTTAAGACCAATTTATCGTCTAAATTATGAAGATTCCAATGAACTTCCTTATTTCTGGAAAAAGCTTGCTATAGCTCTTGGATATAACGAACCAGATAGACTTAGAGGAAGTCCGGGCTGACGCCACTACTGACGCCTTGCTCACGCGAGGCTTCACTTTTTAGTGTCAAGTTTCTTCGAAACTTGACAAGTATTGTGATGAGTGGGGGAAAATTCATATGAGTCAGGGATCAGGCATAATAGTGTAAACTTTCCGGGGGGTGTATACGATATATGTTCGTAGTGATTTATTGTACTTAGTCAGTGCTTTGAAGGTTATTTAGGCAATTTCAGTTGTCTTATTTAAATATTCTTTTGTCCTTTTGCCAAGTTCACAAAAATTTTGAGGAGTGGTTGTCGTTATTGTAATTTTTTGTAAATTTTATAACATTCGCTTCTCATGTTGTGTAAAAGATCTTTACCCCGGAACACTCGATTTTTTCTTTAGCAGCGCAAATGCGCATGCGCTATCAAACCGTAGATGACCTACGATGACGTCAACCTCGTTCCCAGGGTCTCTCCTCCTGTCATCTGGGAGAGACCCTGGCTGCGGCTGGTCACGTGCCTCCCAGATTCTGGGAGGTAAATTTAATTGTAACTGTGAGAGGGGTGGGAAAGGAGCGTGTTTGTAGCGTTTTAAAATTGCAACTTTGGGTGATGAAATTTACTGTAAATTTGCAACAAGAAATCGTAAAGAGAACTCTTAAATTAATATTTATATCGTAACGTTCTACTCTATAATCTGGTGTCGAGTTACAATTCAAGCAAGTTGGATCAAATTTCTGTAGACTTGCCAAAGAAAGCACGCTTGCGGCGGCTTGCCGCTTGTGCAGCGTGGAAATATTAAACCTACAAGAAAATATATATCTCCAGACCGAACAGTGTGGTTGTTATTTATTAGTATTAAAGTCTATCCTGATACTCGGACGAAAAGAATTTATTTATTGACGAGATGTGGAATTGCAACGAAATAGCGAGATCTTTTGATTCCCGAAATATCGCCAACTGTATCCAGATTGTTGATCTATATAAAGGCCTTATCAAAAAACTTAAAGCCCGTCAAAACACTATAAAATTGGCCCTTGGCATTAATGGCTGAAACCAACGATCATGGTATATGTCAAAGTATAGCTGTCTGTTGAAAATCTACGGTATTAAAATCATACACCAAAGATAAGTCAAACGACAAATTATATGTCACTATATTATACATGTCTTTCAATGAGCACTGTTTTAGTAGTGTTTACCACCTTTATAAATTTTGTAAACAGCTTTCGTTTTGACATGAATAAGCTTTAATTTTTTGCTGTATATGCATTCTTAATAATACAAATGAGATTTAAATTTTTGCTGTGTGAAATAGAATGCCGTTATTTTTTAATGGACAGCTTGCATCGTCTATATCATATCCAGGATTGCTTGTGTGTAAACGCATTATTCAGTATATGACACTATCAAATAAATATAAGTAGTAAATGATTAATGAATTAGAGATAAACAGGTGATTCACAATGAAAACTTTAAAAATGTTAGTAGAAGCAGGCTAGAAAACTCGAAAATGTAGTCTATTCGTATGACGCCAATGACGGTCTAGCTGTGCGCATCTGACACTGTAAATTTGTGATATACATTATAGTATGTTAACACAATATAATGATTAATAGAGACAAAAATGGCTAAAGTGTTACTATAATTACCGAATACGAATTATGTACTAAATCCAGATAAACCAATAACTGAAATTTCCTCTATACTTACAGGCATTTCTCTGTTCGGCTATTATCAAATGTTTATATTTGCTAATATTGGGTCAGTCCTAGACAATACTGTTTCTTTTAAAAATCTTATAAACAAGACGCGTAGTAACAAGTGAATCGGTACAAAGCGTATCAACGTTTACAAGAAAGGACGAATGTAATGGCGTATTTTAAAAACATTACAATATTAAAAGGTTCGTTATAACCGCGCTCGATTGTGAAGAGAGCATGCATTGAATAACAACACGAGAGAGCACGTACTGCGACTCTGCGAGTAACGATTTGCTTTGTTTCTTGACTTGACTGTAAGTAAGAATGTAAGAATGTTCTTGTAAATTCAAAGCAAAGAAAATAAACAAGTATTTTGAACGTAATAATTCGCAAAATTTATGTTTTTAACGAATATTCCACTGGAAGCATGTTTATGTAATTTGATACTTTCCCCACACCCCGTCAGGCGCTAAATTTTTAATGAGGCACGTGACCAGCCGCAGCCAGGGTCTTTCCCAAAGAAAGATCCTGGGTACGAGGT